AATACATTATTTCACTATCAAAACACTCCAAAGGCAACACAGAAAGAAATATTATTTAGGTGGCAAAATAAACAGTTTAGAAAATGCAATTCAGTAGCTCTTCCGATACGATTTACAGGTGCATCTCAATAAATTAGAATGTCGTGGAAAAGTTCATTTATTTCAGTAATTCAACTCAAATTGTGAAACTTGTGTATTAAATAAATTCAATGCACACAGACTGAAGTAGTTAAAGTCTTTGGTTCTTTTAATTGTGATGATTTTGGCTCACATTTAACAAAAACCCACCAATTCACTATCTCAACAAATTGGAATATGGTGACATGCCAATCAGCTAATCAACTCAAAACACCTGCAAAGGTTTCCTGAGCCTTCAAAATGTTCTCTCAGTTTGGTTCACTAGGCTACACAATCATGGGGAAGACAGAAGTCCGCAGAAGTTTCCACAGTCTGTGATTCTCCGCAGTCCGCAGAAGTTTCCACAGTCTGTGATGATTTGGGGTGCAATGTCATCTGCTGGTGTTGGTCCATTGTGTTTTTTGAAAACCAACGTCACTGCACCCATTTACCAAGACATTTTGGAGCACTTCATTTCAGTTCTCTCAGCTGCTCACGTCTGGAACTGTTTTTGTTCATTATATCTTCCTTATATTTATTTGATTAGGCTATTTAGTCAGCAATTGTTTATCTTCAGGGTTTAAAATATGAGTCAGTCCTGATACAAAGTTTTTGAACAATGTGTTAGTTTACAGTTTTTTTTTTTACCAATTGCTGACATCCCTTTGTCCTATCTGTGGTCACATTTTCAAAACTCTACACAAAATTAGCACAACATCGGTCTGTTGTGACCATATCATTAACACAATTCATGTTGTTTTCACACAATATTCAGTCAATTAACACGTTTCTAAAATGCTTACATTTTCTTTTCACACAAGCTCATACCAACATCATGGATCTTTTTTTAAATCTTTTTACAAATGCTTAAACACAGCATGACAGAAATAAAGACCTAATGTTCCAAAATGTAAATATAGTGTAAAGCCTCTATACTTCTGCAACAACAGCAGCTCAAAAGTATTGAAAAAAAATCTCTATATATAAAATATTGTAACAGCTAATAAGCATTTTTAAGTAACAGATCACTGAAACATTTAGAAATAGCTGATTCCAGTCTCAGTTATAGTCAGGTGTTGATGCTCTTTCCATTACATCAACATAGAGAAAAAAAACCCCTCTTTGAATTGATTTTGTGGATGCAGAACAACACAAAGAATCAGAGAGAGAAAAAATAATGCCTAGGAGAGGGAGAAGAACAGTTGTAGGAAGGAGAGGAGTAGTTGGATCAAAAAAGGGAGAAGAAGAGGTAGGGGAGAGGAGTAAACTGGATTATGCATTTTTTATGTTTGTTTGTTTTCCCCCTTACACAGGTGGAACCTATAAAAGCTTATTTCTGCCATGGAATATAAAGGGTAAAGGGTAATTGTACCTTTTTTTAATCTCACAATTCTGCCTTTTTTTCTTGCAATTGAGGATTTATCTCACAATTCTGATAAAGTCTGAATTGCAAGATGGAAACTCTATTGTACATTCTATACAGTAGTGATTCATTCCGTTTTAGACAGTATGTTGCCAAGCATGCACACATTCAACACTTAAAAATGTAAAACGGGTTTCAGTTAAAGGTAACTAGATTACAAAAACAATGGATTGTTATATTGTCTATGTGCAGGTAGAACTGAAACATGACAAGTAATTGAGTTTTTGTAAAGCCATCAACTGTTTGTATTTTGACAGTCACTGTGCTATGATTGACTACATGTGCCTATTGGATAGAAAAGTAGTGCTAATGTTTTGACCGAATTATTTGGAATGGGGTTTGTTGTGTTTTGATAGAGTTAGCATGTAGAAAAAGGTATTCGGCATTTTGAAATGTAGAGTTTGTATTTATTTAACAAAATGTGATTTTGGACAGAAAATGTACTTTTTGGCTAATTGTGTGATTGTGTGTTGCTGTGTTAAGAGTTTAGAAAAAAAGTACTTTAAGTATAGGTAAACGCTTTTGAATTTTTTTTTTTTAATCCTTTACTATTTTGGAACATGATGAATACCCCGTGGTAATTATAATACACTACCAAAAAATAAAAATAAATAAATAAAAATAATTAGCGAATGCAAGAATGGGAAAAAATGCACGCAAAAATCCACGAAGTTTAAAAAATGTTTATTCATTTCAGCCCATTACTACATAGAATGGAGTACAATCGTGTGCCTGGCAGCGATGGAGTAGGAGCGGTAGGACCTCTAGCGGTAGAAACGAGAAGGGCAGGCTGGGACTGAAAGACGGGTCTTCATTTGAGCTTCAGTTCACCTGACTAGCACCGTTTGAGGTGTTTGTGGCTATAATATACAGCCATCGGCATGCATGGTCAGGGTTATCATTTAAATAATTTATATAGTAATAATTCAGATTTTCTGCGGAAACAATTGTATCAAGAACACGTTCAACATATGCATTTTCTAAGTGGTCTTACCAAAGAATTCAGCCTAGCTCAACTTCAGTTAACGTTCGCTCTTTCCTCCTACCCAAGATCACATTTTCAGCCTCGGGTTTTAGATATTGTTGTAAACTTTGTTGTGAACACCTGAAAAACTGTCATACAGTTGGAGTTTTACAAAGCGTTTGCCTGACGAAATGTAGTTTGGTGGCGTATTCACCTTGTAAACGCAGTTTATTTTTTATTATGCAATAGAAGAACAACAAATACAATTACAAAGACAAGTAAAAACAAAAGACAATAAGGGTTACAAACAATACTCCAAAGCATACTATGTTAGCTTATAAGATTTACACCATGAAAGAGTCTTACATGCAATAGAATTATTAGAGTTTCTTAAAGAGTTTACATATACATCAAAATCTTTCCTGAAAATAAAAATTATGAATGTAAAATTTAGCAAGGTATAGCAATAGATTAATAATAAATTTACACTGAGAAAGATCTAAATTCAAAGAGTAACCAAAAAAAACAAAATTTTGGGGGTTATACAAAAGTTTGGATATAAATATTTTTTAACAAAATTGGAAAAGTCAACCCAGAACACTTTAGAATAAGCACAGTCCCAAAATAAATGATTGATTGTTTCTTCAGACTGAAGGCAAAAGGAGCAATTGGGGGAAATACTATTGTTAAATTGAGCAAGTTTGTAATTTACCGGATAACAATTATGGATAATTTTGATAGAGACTTCAACGACTTTATTAGATAAGAAGAATTTTTGTCGAAGAAGCCAAAACTCTTCCCATTCTATATCATTAAATATGTTATTCCAAAAAACTCACTCAAGCAGGTAAAGAAATCTGAGATCTATTAATAATTGAACGGATGTCTTTGTTTGACATGGCATTGAGAAGACTTTGATCAACAAATAAGTTAGTGTTATCAAAAAGAGAGTCGAACGAACCTTTAGGGCCAGATTTTACTAAAGGTATAATACAATTGGGAATTGCACCAAACACAATGGCATATTCTCTTGGGGGGGGGGACAGGAAAAGAAAATTCTTGCATAAATTGTTCATAAGTAAAAAGGACACCATGATCATCTAAAAGTTGACTGACTAAAAGTATATTTTTATCAAAACAATTGTGAAAAAAATGATTTATTTTTATATCTAATATTTTTATTATTCCAAATAAAGTAGCTATGTGGTGAAAAATGCTAATTATGTATAAGTGACCGACTTATTAAAGCCTGTTTATGAAAACAAGATAAATTTAAAGGTATTTTAGAGATGTCAAAGTTGGAGCAGAATTAAATATATGATTTGGAATAAAATTCCAACAGGATGTGGGGTTGTTTAAATTTTTTTTATCCATCTTGTAAACGCAGTTTTATTCAGGGCTGACTCACGCAATTGGCACTTTTCTCACGCCACACGTCCATTTTCTCACGCAGTAGCAGTTCTTACGCTTAAGTTGAAAATGTAATTATCGGTGATTTGCATTGGTCACAATGGCATTTAAAACTATTCAACATAAACTCACCCTTCTGAAAAAAATTAGATGGCCAGGCTGGTTTTTGTACCATGTTTGTTGGTCAACCAACTAGAAACACCCAAACACCAGCGAACAATTTTTGGTTGTTTCCTAAAGTTTTTTTTTTTTTTTTTATTGCACCGTCTCATAGAATAAATCAGGAACATATATAGTACACTGTAAAAATGTCTATAAGTAAACCAGAGTTTTTACTGCTTCAGAGGGCATTATATTCGTGGATGAAAGTTCTAGTGTCAGTCAGCAGCCAATAGATGGCAGTATTGGCCTTCATCTTCAGCACGAAATCTATTGAATATTATCTCAAAGCAAACCATATTTAATTACTACAAAAATCGTATTTCCTTTTTGTTTACCTACGAAGTAGTAAAAAAAAATAAAAAACGCTATAGTTACAATTCAAGTGGATAAAAGAGAAATCATTACGTTCAGCGCAGTCCTCCTCATCAATGAATATTATCTCAAAGCAAACCATATTTAATTACTACAAAAATCGTATTTCCTTTTTGTTTACCTACGAAGTAGTAAAAAAAAAATAAAAAACGCTATAGTTACAATTCAAGTGGATAAAAGAGAAATCATTACGTTCAGCGCAGTCCTCCTCATCAAGTAGCTGTTGTTTTAAATTCCAATTATAAAAAAAAAAACCGTTGTTTTAAATTCCAATAAAACAAACAAACAACGTTTCTTAGACATTAAAGGCATGGAACACCATCGCTGTAACTTGGTTCTTGAGGAAGTAAACTTGAAATGCTGTTCATTTGTCTCCTACCAGGACAGAGCGAGACGCCAGTCTCTTTGACTGACGTTCTCGCCCGCCAATCAATTGAATGGATGTGTGGCGAACCTCCAATCACAGCAGAGAAGGGGCGGGGCTTTCTCGGAATAGTCTCTTCGCTATTACGTCATGCGCGAACAGCTGGTCCGTTGCAAGAGCTGAAAATGTGGACAAGCGTGGCGATATAAAAATCGCGTCCGTGCCGTCGGGGCGCAAACAGTCAGTTTATCACGATGTGGTGGCTGGAAGGGCTTAGGTCGGGGATGGGCCGTCTGGAGATCCTGTTGCTTGTTTACACCTTGCTCTGCTCTCTCGGAGGTGAGTCGTTCAGTGAGGGTTGAAGTGCGATCTCTATCTTGATGCAGTGGAGCTGTCCTTTGTGCTGGTGCTGAACTACTTCACTCAATGGCTTGGCCGTAGCCTATATCACATTCAGTGCTAGTGCACTTTGGCCACCCAGCAGGTGGAATGCGTTTCTTCTCTGCGCTGATGTCTTATTTGTGTTTTAATGTTGTCCTAGGCACATCCCCGAGAATAAAGCACGGACTACACTGTGCTGCATTCTTGAGGAGCTTCGCGCGAGAAGTGGATGCTTCTTTATGTCTAGCAAGACTTCTATCATAATCTCGGGCTAAACTGAGAGCAAAGTAATTATGTATCACGTTCCGTATCGGAACACACTTTATTGCCTTATATCCCTAATGCACGCTGGCCTATATTGTTTTAACTCAGTTTTATTCTATTGTAGCCAATAATAGTTTTAGCGTGATTCCCATAGAATCAGAATCAGTTGCCTTTGGGAAATATGTAGGGCAATTATTGCTTTTTAATGTTAGCGTGTAAGTCTCGAGCCTTACCTCTAGTCCTCAAAAGCTTGATTGCGCAAGAAGAGCGCCGAGTTGTTTCTTGTTTATGTCGAGATGCATTTGTGTAGATCGCATCGATAAGGAAGTTAATCTGGCTGCGCTGCGGTGCCTGAAAGCGCATCTGAGGGATGCTGTGCTGCTTTAGTGTCAGCTGTGGCTACTTGAGCTCCGACACTGACTTCACATCTCTTGCTGTTCTTAAGTACGACAGGAATAACAGGCACTGTATTCTTCGCTGTCTTTTGAACTTTTTTTTTTTACTCTATTCCAGTATAGGGGGATGATTGTATGATAACGAACAGTAGCACACATCACAAACCTATATAGTAGAGTATTATTATATATTTGCTGGTCCTTTTTGGAAACGTTACAAGGTTTAGTGTGCAGTTATTTGTTTGAAAAAAGATATGGGTGAACTTAACTTGTATTTAGATTTTTTTACAGTGTAAAATGTGTTATTATTATTAGTAGTATTATTATCATTATACATTTTTTTAGCTTTTGTCATATATATATATATATATATATATATATATATATATATATATATATATATATATATATATATATATATGCAGCAATTCTTGAAAATCTATTTTTTTCCCCACTCTTTATTTTTTACAAAACTGCAGAACATGTGCAACGAGAAATGTTGTCTATTGTGGAAAATGTTTTCCATTTCCTCCAGTGAATATCTTTTTCTTTTTAATTTGTTTACTTTACTTACTGCAGATGAGATTCATAATGCATGAGCAATTCATAAACATCACCTGATTAACAGGGCACCAAGCACGTTGCAAGGAGACACGCCAGTCACTGGACTTGGCTGCTCGCTCGCATTGATCACAGTATTGACAAGCGGCAGGAACAGAGTGATGCTCTGAGGCTAGCACAAAGGAGCAAGACCAATGAACCATCCAGTCTCATGGGAGAACGAGTCAGAGCAGACCAAAGAAAACAGTTCAATGTGACAGACACAGACAAAGAGCTGGGCTGAGACTCAGTGAGTGAGAGAAGAGTCCCTTAGCCTACTGTTTCTGTCTCTGTCTCTGTTGTTCTCTCTGGAATCTGACTGTCGCTCTCACACACTCTTAATGTTTTGACCGGGTTCGATCTGATCCTCTGTCCTTTTTTTTTTAAACTGTTGTGTCAATACACGTATTTCTGGTCAAAATAATTAGAATATCAGTATCCATCCATCCATCCATCCATACATACATACATTGACAGTGTGTGTTTGTGTGTAACAAAGCTTTGTAGTATTTTGAGTGGGAGATTGACTTCTATGTTAAAATGAAGCATGCTTGTGAGATCCCATTATGCTGAGATGTGACCCGTGAAGGGAAGCTTTTCACTGAGTTTTAGTACATTACTTAACACTCACATTTACTGTGTAAGTAGGTGGCATGCTATTATTGAGTCGAACTCAGTTTAACGTATGAGGATGGCAGCTGCTTTTAAGGCAACACTGGCTCATCTGTACCAGCAGCTGTAGTTTAGATGTTGAATGACCAATTAAGATTTATTCCTGCTGTGAAGCCAATAGCTTAGTTGTGATGTCAGTTCATTGGCCAAAGCAGCTAATTTGGGCTGGGAATTTCCTGTCGGAAATGTTTACATTTACATTTATGTGTTTAGCAGATGCTTTTATCCAAAGTGACTTACAAAAGAGGAAAAAAGCAATTAGTATATATATATATATATATATATATATATATATATATATATATATATATATATTGTATATATATGTATAA